ACTGTTTCATAGACGAATAAATAAATAAATAAATAAATAAATAAATAAAGATTTTTTTAAAAAAATCACATTTAGCAGAAATAAAAAATTTTACACTCCGGAAATACTCTCACTGTGAGTGTTCAAAATCGCTTGAAGCGGAATTAACTTTTTTTGTGATACATTAGACTAATGTCTATTTAACAAAAAAATTTTTCTATCGGTGTACAGCAAACAAAGCTTTCTTGAAACGGACTTATAAGAATTAAAAAAAGCTAATGATCATCAAAGGTTCTATTTAGAGATTTATTTATGTTTGCATATATAATGCAGCGCTGCCTAAGCATATCGAATATATATGTATTCCGAATCCATACTTAAATGCGATTTATAGAAAATACCTCAATCACAGCACGTCCCTGCGAGTATATCGCACACCGTCTTCAAAATGGGCACAACTCAAAATTACACGCTTGTCAGAAAATGCGAAAAATTATTTCCTAGAAGCTGATAATCCTATGGGCAATGTAGACTTTACTTTAGGTTTTTTAACAAATTATAACAAAAATTTACTACAGCTTTTGCTGAAAGTTAGATAAAAGCTTTGTGTACAATTTTAGCTCATAATTTCAAAAATTCCTAATTTCGAAGTGTGCCTCTTTTCAAGACGGTGTGCCTCTCTTCAAGACGGTCTGCTATATGTATGTACTTACAAATATGACTGGACGTTCGAAAGACCAATATTCAATGAAAATTGCTTAATCATTTACTTACTTCCTTTTCTTATGTCCACATAACTAACATACAAATTTCGCATTTCATTTTTAGTGTCCGATGGCTACTACTTGCCACTTGCGACTAGCACTAGTCCATCCAATGGTGCGTCGGTAAGTAGCAGCAGTGTCACGAATGGTGGTGCGGTTGGGGCGCTAAATAGCGGCAATCCGGCAGCATACTCAACGACACCCTACTTCACAACACCTTCCCCGCCACGCGCCAACCCCGGTCTCACGCCACATCATTCCCTGCACGCACACCAACAACACTTACACCACCATCAGCATTCCACGCTGGCCAATAGCCAGGCGACCGCTGGCGGCGGTGTGCTGCATCAACCGAGCGTGATCCAGCCAACAACGTCCAATGTCAACTATGATCTCTCCTACATGCTGGAGCTTGGCGGTTTTCCACAGCGAAAAGTGAAAAAACCGCGAAAGCCCAAAATCGAAATGGGTGTTAAGAGACGCAGTCGCGAAGGCTCCACAACATACCTGTGGGAATTCCTACTGAAATTACTGCAGGATCGCGAATACTGTCCGCGTTTCATCAAGTGGACGAATCGTGAGAAGGGTGTATTTAAGCTGGTAGACTCCAAGGCGGTGTCGCGACTATGGGGTATGCACAAGAACAAACCGGATATGAATTACGAGACAATGGGACGTGCATTGCGATATTACTACCAGAGAGGCATACTGGCCAAAGTGGATGGCCAACGGCTGGTCTACCAATTTGTGGACGTGCCAAAGGACATTGTGGAAATCGATTGCAATGGAGTGTAAATGTGCGCGTATATGTGAGACGTCAGGCTGGCTGGCACAACCAATAATTAATTCAACACCGTTCTATGGCCTGTACATTCCACTGAGGTGAGTTTGCGATTGCAGCTGCGACTAATTATAATGGGATTCGTAGCTAATCAGAAATATTAAATTTTCAGCACCAATGCATCACCTACAACTACAAGTAAATTAAGCGGATTTCTTGGAATGTACAAAGCAACGCAAATGCTCGAAATCTCAGTAAAAATTTCGGGGTATATAAATATGTATACATATGTATGTACATTTACACATGTATGTTTGTGAGTATGAATATACGCGATGAGGAGCAGTTTTATACGAAGAAGAATGTATACTGTAAAGAATTTGTATTTATTAGCTCTTTTTAATGTTAATACTAGTTGAGGAGAAACAATTGTGTGTAAGTAAGGCTCGCTAATATGAAATTGTATATTTTAGATACACAATAATATAGTACTACATATATAGTATATTAAATAAATAAATNAGCAGCAGTGTCACGAATGGTGGTGCGGTTGGGGCGCTAAATAGCGGCAATCCGGCAGCATACTCAACGACACCCTACTTCACAACACCTTCCCCGCCACGCGCCAACCCCGGTCTCACGCCACATCATTCCCTGCACGCACACCAACAACACTTACACCACCATCAGCATTCCACGCTGGCCAATAGCCAGGCGACCGCTGGCGGCGGTGTGCTGCATCAACCGAGCGTGATCCAGCCAACAACGTCCAATGTCAACTATGATCTCTCCTACATGCTGGAGCTTGGCGGTTTTCCACAGCGAAAAGTGAAAAAACCGCGAAAGCCCAAAATCGAAATGGGTGTTAAGAGACGCAGTCGCGAAGGCTCCACAACATACCTGTGGGAATTCCTACTGAAATTACTGCAGGATCGCGAATACTGTCCGCGTTTCATCAAGTGGACGAATCGTGAGAAGGGTGTATTTAAGCTGGTAGACTCCAAGGCGGTGTCGCGACTATGGGGTATGCACAAGAACAAACCGGATATGAATTACGAGACAATGGGACGTGCATTGCGATATTACTACCAGAGAGGCATACTGGCCAAAGTGGATGGCCAACGGCTGGTCTACCAATTTGTGGACGTGCCAAAGGACATTGTGGAAATCGATTGCAATGGAGTGTAAATGTGCGCGTATATGTGAGACGTCAGGCTGGCTGGCACAACCAATAATTAATTCAACACCGTTCTATGGCCTGTACATTCCACTGAGGTGAGTTTGCGATTGCAGCTGCGACTAATTATAATGGGATTCGTAGCTAATCAGAAATATTAAATTTTCAGCACCAATGCATCACCTACAACTACAAGTAAATTAAGCGGATTTCTTGGAATGTACAAAGCAACGCAAATGCTCGAAATCTCAGTAAAAATTTCGGGGTATATAAATATGTATACATATGTATGTACATTTACACATGTATGTTTGTGAGTATGAATATACGCGATGAGGAGCAGTTTTATACGAAGAAGAATGTATACTGTAAAGAATTTGTATTTATTAGCTCTTTTTAATGTTAATACTAGTTGAGGAGAAACAATTGTGTGTAAGTAAGGCTCGCTAATATGAAATTGTATATTTTAGATACACAATAATATAGTACTACATATATAGTATATTAAATAAATAAATAAAAAAATAGTTATATTTATGTTTAAGAGAAAAGAATATGTTGAAAATACAGTGTTGTAATATTTTAAAATTGTTATTAATTATTAGTAAAATTAATGAAATGACCAGAGGGTCGTTTGTATGTATGTAAGTGTAAACCTTTATATAAATTGTATGTATACATAATATGTATGTCTAGCTAAAGCATATAAATACTATTAATTTGTTTTTGTTGCTTATTTTATAGTAAACTCTAAAAAATATATAAATACACATTAATATACTGTAATATTATGTTATGTAAGTCATGAATGTTGAAATTTATTAACTCTAGTTTTGCTGTCCGCAAATTAGTAATTATATCTAAATATGTACATACATATATACCTAACCTAAGTACAATTTCTTGATTTATATTTTTCTGTTTGCTTTTTGTTTTGTAAATTTTGAATAGAAATCAAAAACAACAACAACAAAATCCACTGTTCATAGATAAAAAGAAGAATTTTACGACCCCAGCCAGCTCAAGCAAGAAACGTGTGGCCAAAATATGCATAGATATGACAGTGTACCCTTTACCGTATCGCTACCAATATGAAAGAGAGGTTTTTTTTGCGACTTGACGGCCTTGCTGTGTCCTAATAATATTGCACAACATGGCAGATCATTTCAAGAGATAATTTTGAGAAAGATAGATCTCTTCAATATCGTAAAAAAGTTCAAAACATACTGACACTTTTAATTTTACGGTAACTACGAGTACATAAATAGGTGGATTTGAATTTCAGTCGGGTAGAAATTGAGATATGTAATTGATTTTGATTTGATGAAGGAAGTAATTTATGTGGGTCAACAGGATACTAAATTAATATGTGGTGGCTAGAATGTAAATAGGGAAAAGACATATTAGAAATTGTTGGCTATTTTTATTTATTTAAAAAACTTTAATAATTTTTTTTTTTCAAACCAACGAATTTCAACAAATATTGATCAAAATTTTAGACTTTTTAATCAGATTTTTTTGATTTTTTTTTTAGTATGCAGGTTTGCAGGCCATTAAATTTTAGTATCACAAAGTGCAAATTTGAAGTAGCTTGGATTAACCTTTGATTTTTTGCAATGTTTGTTCGCACATTTTCTTCCATACGAAGTATGTTCAACTATTTTATTTATATGGAAAAAAGGAGCAACACCTTCCACAAATAAAATTGCCAAAAGTCAATGGTTAGTCCTAACAGCTTAAATTTAGCATTTTTTTTTACTAAAACTTCATGGGCTACAGAACTGCGTGCTAAGTATGTTTCTAAGGGCTGTTTCTCAAGGGGATTTTAAAATTTATCTGTCCTTTGAACACAAAATGTTTTTCTAAAAAATAATTTTAAAGGGTAGATACATTTAAAAACCTACTTGAGAAAACGGCACTAGGAAATCTAATTAAAAAGCTCAAGACTTTGAAGAAACTTTGTCTTATTTCGCCAATTTTTTTACAAAGCTTAAAATTGTGACTTACATGGTTTTTATTAGTTAACGAGCTACACTTTCATAAAAAAAATAATAAACATTAAATAGTCGTAAGGGAAATAGCCAAAGGATGCTAAAATCTATCTTCTCTATTCATATTTTCGCCACTGTAAATATAGTTCATAAAAAACTGTTCTTTTTTTCAACGAAATTTTACACCTTGAAATCGGGTTACTAAAAAAACAAAGTCAGGAAACAAATTCGGGTTTGGCTTTTTTTAAAGCCCGGCAAGGATAAAAGTTTTCATGACTAGATGGGTTTGTTACACACTTTTTCCGCGACCCAGCCTAACGTAACCTTCTCTGCTGCGTTCTGAATGCCAGGAGGTATTCACTTAAACTGGAAATCTTGAAAATCTCGAAAGTCTACACATATGCTGTATGTAGAGTCAACTACCAGAGCAAGGTTTTATATGAGTTTTACAGTTTTTCAAGTTTAGGGAAATACTCGAAAAATATGACGGCAAATTCATATAAACGTGTATATGCCTCGTAACAGCGTAAAACTCGTAAACTTACTTAATTTTGTATAAAAACGCTACAAGCTGTACACGCTTACGAGGCATTTTCCGCCAAACCTGTCGTCTAATCGGGCTCAGCTAGAACAAAGCCTGGCCAGTAAGAGACGAGGTAGCGTGTGAATTTTTAAGCATGACATTAGTACAAATTATACATGCATACATATGTATATGAAATATTAATGAAGATATATACATACATGTGTGTGTGTGTTCAAATATAAGATGAGGGCGCTTCACAAGCTTCAGCAAAAATTTAAAGTAAAAATTATGACTTGATTTGGCCCCGACGCACTTTTCTTGGTAAAATAGTGTAATGGTAATAAAACCGTTATTCAAAAGGGTTAAACATAAATAAGGTATGATAGGTGAAAAGATTAATGTGATAAACCGTGATATTGGATTTTAAATTAAACTAAACAGAAGGCAATAATTGGAACTGGAAGAAATTTACGTTAGCTTGACTATGTGTGTAGAGAGGAAAGTGTACTTGAGTAGTAAATTATACAAAAAAAAAAAAAAAACATTAGCCTTTTATGTTTAAAAACGGTAAAAACTATCTGGTAAGGCTGGGCGTTGCTATAGGTAAATACATGCAACGATTTTTTGAATAAATTGAACTTGCTATAGTTGTTGTTGTTGTTTTTGAACTTCTAATGCTGGCGAATTACCTTTATTATATTCCCTTATTCAACATCTTCTCGAAGTTTTCATTATTTTGAGTAAAAATTTGCATAATATTGTACTCAAGTATTTTGTATTTGCCGCAAAAGTACCGTCAAATGTCACTGCCGCATGCAAAAATAGCAGTAAATTTAATATTTAAAAGTAACACTTTTTTTTTAAACAAAACTTCCAAACTAGTGCAGGACCAAGTCCTGTGGCCACTGCCCGAATGTGCAATTTACATATATTTTTTTTATTAAAGTAAAATGATTAAAAAATTCAACTTAATAATGTTAGTATCATTTAAGTATTGTTTAAGTTCTAAAATGCAACAGTAAAATCAAGAAACCTATATGTATACATGCTCATTAACCAAAAGTGTTTTTTTTTTTTGTTTCTTTCTGAAATTGTCATAAAAATTTTATGAAACTTGTCCTGGATTTTTCATAACTTTTTTATTTTTCAAATTTATACTATTTTTGTTTTAGTATGTGTGCATACAAATAAGTTGAATACATATATAGTTTTTTATTGTGACAACTTTTTCTTATTTAAAAATAAAATTATTATTTTAATTCATTTGCGTTTTATTGGAATTTAAACCACTACACATCAATGGTATATCCCGTTGAATATGAAGTACTTCTCTTGAGTGAAATATAGCATAATTAACTACACACACTTTCATATATGAAAACAGAAATTAGTAAAATGGAAGGGATGGAATGAATGTAGTTAAAACAAATTAGCAAAAAATAAAATGAAAATAAAAACTAAGAAGAACAATGAAACGAATTGTCCAATTGTTCACACACATGGCACTAATTAGATTTTTCAATCTTCACATAGTACATTGCATAACAGGCAACCCGGTAGTTAGAGCGGTAAGTGAAATTAAGTTTGTCGTCATGGAAATCAATAAGAAAATACCTCCCGATTTACGCTACGATCAATACATATGTACAAGTTTTTCAATAAATAACATAATACATACATATTTAAAATTCATACAAGAGATAGAAAATATATGTATATGTATATATATATATATATACAAACATTAAGAGATTTTAACTAAGTATTTTAGAAATATAGTTGATAAATTGATAGATTTCCAATATAAAGATCACAAATATATAAAGATATAGTACATATATANACATATATATATACTTATATATGTATGTGCGTATAGTAATGCATATGTTATTAAATGAATACATACATACTTATAGTAAATAAAAGTCCCATATAATAGAAAATAAGTACATAAATGGGGAAGCCTCAGTTTTGAGGTTTCAAAGTTATTAAAGTTTGCTTTCATTTAGACTTGTGAGTTAAAAAGCAAAAAGCTCAGCATCTAAGCATACACACATTCGCATATTACCAGAGAGAGTTATTATTATATGATGAACTACCCACTTTTACATTGTTCATAAACACATATGTACGTATATTTATATTAGTGGTATTCGCGACACATCTGCGCAACCTGCCTTTTTGTTCAGCTGATTAAGTTAAGTGACTTTTTGACCAGTTTTGGCTACTTTTCTTTTGTTTATTTAATGTTAGATAATATTTTTTTTATAAAAGTCTAGCACATTATACAACCAGCACCACATAAATTCACATTTCCAGCTTCGTACAAAAATTACGAAAAACCAACAAACTTTAGCAATTGCTCCCAAACGTTTATTTCGATTTTTTTTTATTTAGATATGCAGTTTGCCCATTAAATTTTATTTGGTCAAAATAGTATATTTTTATTTTTTTTCTGGAAGAAAAAGTATTGAAATCGAACGCACGTCCA